ACTCTTAAGAAATAAGATAAAACCAGCTGTACTAAATTTTCTAATAGGAAACTTTGCGTATGAAGGAGAGGTACAAAAGCAAAATATATAACGGCAATTTGAGGCAAAGCCTTTTCATGCAGCAAATCATTAGGATTTGGAATGCACTGCCTGAGAACGTGGTGAAACAGGTTTAATTGAGACATTCAGGAGATAATTGCATTGTCATATTAAAGGGAAGAGCGTGCAGGGCTGAGTAAGCATGTGGGATGTGTGGAGTGGCACTTGGTGAATTACATCTACAGAGAGCTGTTGCACACAGAGTGAGACAGTATGGGAACTTAGACATTAGCATTAGACAAGCCTCAAATCCTATAATGTGCAATAGGCTCAATGTTCTTGTAATTGTGTGTGGATGAGTGTGGGGACCAGAGGAAGGTTGAGCAAACTGACCACAGCACTATGAGGGAAACAGCCATTGAATGGGACCATTCAAAAGATGTGTGATTGTACTGGAAGACTGTATAGTTAGGGGATGAGTACAGTTGTTTGCAGCCAAGGGCATGAGCCCATCTGCCTGATGCCAGAATTAAAGGCATCTCCTCAGGGATGGATAGCAATCGGAGTAGGAAGGAGAATCCAGTTGTGGGTACCACTGACATGGATAAGACTAAGAAAGAATTTCTGCCCAGGGACTCTGAGCTGCTAGGGGCTAAACTTAAAACAGCTGAACCTACTGCTAGTATTCGATAGATTACTGTATGAGCCATTATCAGGTTGGCTTCAGGTACACAAGATTAGAGAGTTGAAAGTGTGGCCTAAAGATTGGTATGGAAGAAACTGATTTTGATGTTTGGGACACTCGTACCAGTACAGGGTAAAGATTGAGCTGTACTGTTGGAAGAACTGTTATGATCCGACCTGATAGTAATACTGGACAACACAGATCTCAGTGCAACTTGGTTTGATAGATCAGAAGTTTCATTATTCTTGTTTGGTTATTGTGGTGGTCAGTCACTAAGCATGTTCACATATTGCTGTCAATATTCTTTAGCAACAAAAGCACACACACAAATTTATTACACAAAAATGTACAAGATACTTTAAAAAAGATCTTAATATAAACATCAAAAAAGATTTGACGCTTTACCAGCAATATCCTTCACAGTCACTTAAGTGACACTTCTATTTCAATTTTAAGTTTCTTACTCAATTGATTCTACTTCAGATGGTGTAGAAGCTTCTTTCCAACTGATGATTTGGACTTCTTTTCAGTTCGGACAGCTAGGAAACTTCAAATTCTCATAGCCCAGAGGTATCTACAAACTGAAAGAAAAACTTGCTCTTTTATTAGGACCTCTTTTTCTTCTGAACTCAACCTACTCATGCCTCCTGGCCATCTGTTTCTGTGTAAGTCATAAAAACTTAACCTTGTAAACATTCAGCAATCAATTCCCCCAGTTTAGTCGATCGGGTCATTTAAGCTAAGTCACATGCTTCTTTGGAAAAGCTGTCTGAACTCTGTTAAAGCAATGATTTTCTGATCTTTGTTGAAAACTTTAAATTCATAGAAAATCACCTCTACTTTAAAATTCATTTTTTGGTCCAAATGATAACACAAGCCTTTATCACACAGTCTTCCTGAACCATGCTGGGATCAGCCTTCTTCTGAGACTTACAACTAAAGTCCAGTGATCTCGAGTGATGTTCTTCGCATAAAAACCCCGCGCTAGGTGGTTATCTAATAAACTAGTATTCAAGTTGATACAATTTTATGCAACATTTTATCAATTACTGGTAATTTTTTTCAGAGTCCATTGCTGATGACTCCCCTGCTCTTCTTCAATGTAAAGGTATAGCGTCTTTTACATCCGCTGGGGATCAGTCAGCTTGGTTTAATGTTTCGTCTGAAAGACGTCACCTCCAATAGTGTAGCTCTCCCTCAATACTATTCCTGAAAAGAGCACCTGGAAGTTCCTCTATATTTGAATGTCTGACTACACAAATTTAAAAAGCAATCATCAGTCATCTATAAATGGATGAAATCTCACAATATTGTTGAACTTTAGGTAATGCCTCTCTCCAGACTGTATGCAACAAAACTCGCAGCGACAAACAGGTCCCCCCGCAGAACGTGCAACCCTCCGCTCCAATCCCAGCCTCACCATAAAACCCGTGGACAAGGGAGGCGCAGTCGTAGTATGGCGCACTGACCTCTACATCACCGAGGCCAGGCGCCAGCTCTCCAACACCTCCTCCTGCTGACCCCTTGATCATGACCCCACCCCCGACCACCAAACCATCATCTCCCAAACCATCCACAACCTCATCACCTCAGGTGACCTCCCACCCACAGCCTCCAACCTCATCGTTCCCCAACCCCGCACCGCCCGCTTCTATCTCCATCCCAAAATCCACAAACCTGACTGCCCTGGTCGACCCATTGTCTCCGCCTGCTCCTGCCCCACTGAACTTATCTCCACCTATCTCGACTCCATTTTCTCCCCTTTGGTCCAGGAACTCCCTACCTACGTCCGTGATACCACCCACGCTCTCCACCTCCTCCAGAACTTCCAATTCCCCGGTCCCCAACACCTCATCTTTACCATGGACGTCCAGTCCCTATACACCTGCATTCCCCATACAGATGGCCTAAAGGCCCTCCGCTTCTTCCTGTCCCACAGGCCCGACCAGTCCCCTTCCACTGACACCCTCATCCGCTTAGCCGAACTCGTCCTCATCCTCAACAACTTCACTTTCAATTCCTCCCACTTCCTACAGACAAAGGGGGTGGCCATGGGTACCTGCATGGGCCCAAGCTATGCCTGCCTCTTTGTAGTTTACGTGGAACAATCCCTCTTCCGTACCTACACTGGACCTAAATCCCACCTCTTCCTCCGTTACATTGATGACTGTATCTGCGCCACCTCGTGCTCCCACGAGGAGCTCGAACAGTTCATCCACTTCACCAACACCTTCCACCCCAACCTTAAGTTCACCTGGACCATCTCTAATAGCTCTCTCTTCTTCCTGGACCTCTCTGTTTCCATTTCTGGCAACCGCCCAGAAACCGATATCCATTTCAAGCCCACCGACTCCCACAGCTACCTAGAATACACCTCCTACCACCCACCTTCCTGCAAAAATGTCATCCCCTATTCCCAATTCCTTCGCCTCCACCGCATCTGCTCCCAGGATGAGGCATTCCACTCCCGTACATCTCAGATGTCCTCGTTTTTCAAGGACCGCAACTTCTCCCCCTCAGTGGTCGAGAACACCCTCGACCGTGTCTCCCGCATTTCCCGCAACTCATCCCTCACACCCCCTCCCCGCAATAACAACCAAAACAGAATCCCCCTCGTCCTCACGTACCACCTCACCAACCTCCGGATCCAACGCATCATCCTCCAACACTTCCGCCATCTGCAATCCAACCCCACCACCAAAGACATTTTTCCCTTCCCACCCTTATCTGCTTTCCGGAGGGACCACTCTCTCCGTGACTCCCTTGTCCGCTCCACACTCTCCTCCAGCCCCACCACACCCGGCCCTTTTCCCTGCAACTGCAGGAAGTGCTACAACTGCCCCTACACCTGCTCCCACACCTCCCCCCTCACCCCCATCCCAGGCCCCAAGAAGACTTTCCACATCAAGCAGATGTTCAGCTGCACATCTGCTAATGTGGTATACTGCATCCGCTGTTCCTGTTGTGGCCTCCTCTACATCGGGGAAACCAAGCGGAGGCTTGGGGACCGCTTTGCAGAACACCTACGCTCGGTTCGCACTAAACAACTGCACCTCCCAGTCGCGAACCATTTCAACTCCCCCTCGCATTCCTCAGACGACATGTCCATCCTGGGACTCCTGCAGTGCCACAACGATGCTACCCGAAGGTTGCAGCAACAGCAACTCATATTCCGCTTGGGAACTCTGCAGCCCAATAGTATCAATGTGGACTTCACAAGCTTCAAAATCTCCCCTCCCCCTACCGCATCCCAAAACCAGCCAAGCTTGTCCCTGCCTCCCTAACCTGTCCTTCCTCCCACCTATCCCCTCCTCCCACCTCAAGCCCCACCCCCATCTTTTAACTACTAGCCTCATCCCACCCACTTCACCTGTCTGTCCTCCCTGGACTGACCTATCCCCTCCCTACCTCCCCACCTACACTCACCTTTACTGTCTCCATCCCTGCTTCTTGGACCTGTCTGTCTCCTCTCCACCTATCTTCTCCTCTATCCATCTTCTATCCGCCTCCCCTTCTCTCCCTATTTATTTCAGAACCCCCTTCCCCTCCCCCATTTCTGAAGAAGGGTCTGGGCCCGAAACATCAGCCTTCCTGCTCCTATGATGCTGCTTGGCCTGCTGTGTTCATCCAGCTCTACACCTTGTTATCCCAGAAATCTAAAAGGCAGTTTTTAAAACTTTAAATAGATTCTGTATTTCGGATGTAAATCAACAGATAGCAAACAAAATGAGGCAAACATATTCACAAATATATTCTATTATTTTTGATTAAAGTAACTAAACCCTTTTATTCCTATTCATAACAGCATTAACGTCAGGATGTTAATTATTCCAAGAGCAGAAGTGATGTGCTTAAGCTAAATCAATTCTTCGATGCTGGGGAGTTAAAATTGCCACTGTAAAAGGGCAAAGTCAAGATGCGATGGCTCGTACACTTGCACAGTTTACTGACATTCATTGTCCAAATAATCACCATTTATGCACTTGAACAATGTTTGTTGAATTACATTTACTGGTATCCTCTGTGATCCCTCTTCCACGTTCTCATTCTTTGTAACCTTTCCCCACATTCTGAGCTCTCAATCTCTGTAGCCCCTCTCTACGCTGTATTTTCTTCAGTTGTTCTCCCATTTCATGCTGCATAATCTCTTCCTGTACTCCCAATTTGTGAAGATTGCAAACCGGCTCCCTTGCCTGCACCATTCCTTTCTGCCTCTTGGTTTCGTTTCCGTCTCTCCTCTATAAGCGCTCCATCTGCAATTCCATCTTCTGTTCTAGACCAATGGCTATGTTATTCCCATAATGCCAAGCGGGGCGATGCTCCGGGCCACATTCCATTCGTGGGGATCGTTCCATTGCTGATGCTGTAGATCCGGGCCGTGTTCCGATACCATGGGGACCAGTGCTGTCTGTATCTCTTTGCTCTCCGGTGAGTTTGACGTTTGAGTCTCTGCAGCAGCGATCTCATTAGACCTGAACTCAATTGTCCCTCTGCAAAAGGGTGTTGTTTCTGTGTGTGTTGAGGCTCAGCCTGGCCTCGCGTTATATGAAGTATATAAAAAATGTTGGTGTGGGTGTGTCGCTTCTTCAGTCACCGTTACACCACATTCCACACCACACCACAGTAAACACTGATCGAAACAGTCCCATAGCAACCGCATAGAAACGACTCTCGCTTTAGTCTTCCGCTGCTCCTTTTCCCATTTTTTTTTAGAAAAAAACGACTTTTACTCCCTAAAATTGCGTATTTTGGTAGGTGTTAGGAGTATTAATTGACCAAAACTTCTCAGTACAATTTGTTTGTTGCCTCACCTCAATTCATTATTTATGTTTATTTTGAAAGGAGCTAATGTAAACAATCCTATGGGTTGTGGAACAGATTCATACCATCGCCGTGACTGCCTGTTTCCACCTTTAACATTACTATATTAGCCTTGTTTCAGTTTGCAATTGTCTGTTGAAATCCTCATTCGCATTTTCGTTATCTCTGGACTTGACGATTCTAGTGCACTTTTGACTGGTTTCACAGACCCTCCAAAGATTTACACCTTTCCTGTCCTTGTCCTAAGTCATGTTTACCCATTATCTGTGTTTGCTTACATTCACAGTCTATTGCTTAAGCAACGCCTCGATTTTTACAATTCTCATCCTTATTTTCAATGCTCTCAAATGCAAAGCTCCTATTTTTGTAAGTGCTCTCTAACCTTGACCTCTTAAGCATCCCTGATTTTAATAATTTTATTGTTAGTGGCTATGCCTTCAGCTACCAAGACCTTGAATGCTGGAATTACTTCCTGAAAGCTTTCCATTTCTCTTTCCTTCTTTTAAAATCCTTTTTTCAAACCTACTTCTTTGACCAAGCTTTTGGTTGTCAACCTTAATGTTTCTTTATGTGGCTTAGTGTCAAATTTTGTTTGTAAACACACCTGTGAACTGCTTTGCGCTGTTTGACAGGGTTAAAAGTGCTTTATAGATAGTCGTTACTGAATGCAGTATTTGTATCATTGACTCAAGGTTCAAAGTATTAATAATTCAGTTTATATATGTACTTGGCACCTGTTGTGATTTTGCTAATTGATAATATTGTTTACAATCCTTATGTTTTGATCATATAAATTTCCACTTTCATGGACAGAACAAATGGATGTATTTTTGGACATAAATTTAAAATGGGATTAACAGTTATAAATTCTCATGTCTTTTCAAAATGTCATTATGATATCGATTCTTTGCTAATGATAAACGACAGTTGTGGTTTGTTGCAATTTCTTCAGTTCACTGGCTAATAACATTTCTTTAAAATATCAAATTATGCATCAGTCTGATTTGTAAGTAATTAATACATTTTTACTTTAAGGTTTGGCAAAAACAATCTATTTAAATATTCAAACCATTAAACATAAATAGAACTGGATAGGTTAGTCACTTTTTTAAAGAAAGGACAGTATTAACTGCAATAAACTTGGATACTCAGCTGTGTTCGACGGTCATGGTAGAGAATGTCCAGCATGTGTATTGTGATATATAGTTGGTTCAGTAAATACTTGACTGTTATCTGTGCAGGAAAAACATTCAAAGTCATTCAGCATTTGATAAGCAGGAACATGGCAATCAAAGTTAAATCTCTAATAAAACATTTGAATAAAATGATTATATATATGCTTCTTAGCTTGTGGAGAAGCTAAGCAGAGCAGGATGATTCTGCAAGAGGCATACAATGAGCTACAGCAGAAAGCAGACAAAAATTTAAAAACATTGGAGGAGGAGGGATTAGAACGCTGAATTTATTTGTTGGGTTGCAAATAGCTTTTGATTTTTGCTTGCTTTTGTCATTTAGAATTGGCTTAATTTGCTAAGGAATTGGTGTTAGCTGTCAACATTCAAAGAGGGTTTAAAGACAGAAGGGAGTGAGCATTGGTAACAATAGGTCTGTCCCACAGGAGTTTATTTTGGGGTATTTAGTACTGGGGAGGAGGGGCAAGAGTTGTGACCCTCCCTTTGCAGTCTGATACACAAACTGCAGGAGGTGCAGAATCTTCTGCCACACTTCCCACTGGTCTTAATTGCCCCACATGTTTGTTTGCAATATACAAATGTATAATCCCATGAGGAGTTGAAAATGTAGCCTCTGGGGGTGTTTCGGGCGTTATCTTTTTCAGTGTTTGTAGCCTGGATTAATCAGGTTTTATGTCAATGGCCTGCATGATCAGGACTACTGCTGTGGCACTTATCATTCTGTTCTGCCAGGCTTTGCAGTTAGGCAGTGCCATTGATGTTCTCAGTCCCTGAAAGCGTTAGATTAGTTATCCTCTAATTTAAGTAAATTTTAAGAAATTCAACAATATTTCCTTCAGCATTCCCTTCCTTAATCTAATGGATACCCAAGATAAACTGGCACTGATGTTGATGCTGCTGGCATTGTACATGTTGCTTAATCTGAGAAATTCTAATCAGGTTTTCATTGATGAAGTATAACTCCTGTTTTAATGTAATTAAGGGAGCAGAATGGAGCATTGGCTTCTGGGATCATATTTACCAGATTTAATGGCTGTGGTTGTTTCTGGTTGTGCACAAAATTTAATCTGTGTGCAATGTTTGTGTGCGTATTTTTTAAAGTCAAAGGCATCGCAGGGGGGAGGGAGGGGCTGAATGCATCTAGTTCATGAACTGCATTCTCCATTCATCACTGTAGCCATTTGTTGATATTTTAGCAAAGTGCTCCATATAATATTTTAATGTCATTTTGTTTTGAAAAGCCTGTTTAGTAAACTGTGCAGATGGCACTGAATTAAATAAATGGGCGAATAATGGAATCAACAGTTACCGCATTAGCTGGAGTAGGACTGCTGAGATGATGGAGGGTGAGTCCAGCAATAAGCCCAACATGTACTTTGTGGGAGGTTTGTCAGTGTTGGTCTAAAATATTTTGTCTTTAATATTTTTGTACTTTAGTTTTGTTGTAATGTTTGTGTTTTAAGTTGTCACCCTTGTTTCTCAATAACTATTTTCAGAAGCAAAGTGCTAAAAACAGTGACAGTCTGATAACATAGATTTATCTAAACATTAACCCAATTTAATTTATTAATTGCAAGCATTTATTTTTATTGTGTAATATATTTTAAATGAGGTTCATGTCTGTCAAAATTTGATTGGTATTACATTTCACTGCATTAGTCTGTGTATAGGTCTAACAAGAGCATCTCCAATTAAAATGATCTTCATTCCAAAGGGAAATCATTTAGATGGGAATAGAATTTTATAGGTAGGAGTAAAAATATTATAGTTGCTTTAATTTTAGCCTTCATTGATTTAAAACAGTACTCGAGATGTAACTATGTATAAATTATACTGTATTTCCCCATAATAAAGCAGTGATTGGACTTCAAAGGAATTCATTGTCTGTAAAGTAACTTGGAACATCCTAAGGATGTTAAAGGCTTGATATTAATGCAACTTTATTCAAAAAATTGAGGCTACTCTTACAAATTGTGGCTTATATCAGATTGTGCGGGTTGTTTGCAGCAGTGTGGGCTTTTGTTTTCAAATGACTTAACTGCCTCAAATGGGTTTTAATGGTTAAATTTTACAAATGATCAAATTGTGGAAGGCAAAACACTCTTGAAACCCAGTGATTCACTGGGTTTAAATATTACTCAACAAATTTTTAGCAACCAGTGCTTTGAAACTCTGGGGTCAGCCTTAAAGTGTTGTACAGAGATCTAAATGAAGAAGAGAGCTGGAAGTTAGCTTCTTTGAAGAACTGGCACTGACATGATTTGTTTCCTTCTTTGCTCCTTATTCTGTGATTTTAAATCAGAATCTGTGAACTTGGAGAGAAATTTTGTAAATGCACGCTAGAGCTGATTTTCTGAGTTTTCACTGATGGTGTGGAGTCTTGCTGGTGTGGCGTTTTGGCTGCAAAATTGGCTACTTAGAATAGTGAGCCTGTTTAATGTGCCTGCATTTTCGTAATGCATGTACTTCAAAACTGTGCTGATGTTCTCATTTAACCTCCAAATTTTATTTAAATAGGCTCCCTGATTGGATCTTCCAGCTTTCTTGCCATTTCCATGCTGGCAGCTCTGCTGCCCTATTTAAAATGGTTACTGCAGTGCTGGTGTTGTATCCTGTGGGAGTAGCTTTCTTGGAGGTGAGTATTCCATTTTGAATTGGCAAGTTAACCAGAGGCTGAAATTCTGCAATGAGTTGTTGGTGCTAAGGAGTTCTGCCCCTTGATGTGCCTTGCGATTTGAAACATGTACAAAGCATAGTGACTGGATGACCATGAGAAAAGTACAATTTCCTGAAAATAACTTTTTTTTTGGCTGCAGTGTTGGCACAGCACCTTTTAAATCCTCTAAATTTTGAAAATGTACTTTGTCTGCTCTGTATCTCATTGAGCTAAGATAGCACCCTACAGTTATCCATGCAACTCTAGCTGAAAGGCTGACAGGTATTTGAAATAAATTTGGTAGCTTTAAACAACTGAAGCAATATTTTGGACTTTATACATTGTTGAATTGTTCCAATATGAAATGGGGACTGTGTTGTTGTGTGTGATCGTGTACCCAGAATGCCACAGTCACTGCTGCTGCACTTCAGTCAGGTGCTGAACAACAGTTTCAGTCCAGAGCACATGGTCAGATCTGTAAAATGCATTTCATGAAAACCTTTTTTACCTATGTTTAAAATAGTGATTATTTTAGATTTCTGGGGTCCATGAGATATAACGTGCCTCAGATGCTGAGGTGAGGTGACAGCCCTTGACATCAAGGTTGCATTTAATCGAGTGTGGCATTAAGGAGCCTGAGCAAACCTGGAATCAATGGGAATCAGGGGGCAAACTCTCCATGGATGGAGTCATACCTGACACACAGGAAGCTTTGCAGTTTGAATCCGTACATAGGTTCTGGTTGTTGGAGGTCAGAC